AAGTTACGACCTCGTTGCACGGAGTGGAGATTGGCAGATTAGCAAAACGAGAGAACTTGCAAGGTGCGCTGTTCGGAATAGCGACATTATGCCCCCGGTGAAAATCGAAGCTTTAACGCATTGGCAGCTGCAAAGGGGAGCAAGAAGCCTACGACCCTTAAATCTAACAGTTTTAAAAAATAATTTACACAATTTATTTAAAATGATGACAGTATATTTCTAATCTCTTCGCGTTCTCATTCTGAATGTACCTGTACATTTTTTATATCAAGCTAACATTTTTTTAATGGGCTCTTATCGTTTATTGTAACGAGTGAGACGGTATTGGCTGACTTCTGCGAAAACATGGCGAACAACAACGCCAGCACGAGCTGAATAGTCGTATTTACAGTCTCAAGCTCAAAAAACATAGTGACGTTTCGCTACGCGGGGCCAACGACTTGACGGGGCTCCGGACTTCAGGCAACGCGATTGACATAAAATAACCATGAGCCTTCCCAAAACATAATTTCCAATGTATGTTTTGCTAAAGTAATTTTATTCTAAGCACTCTTAACTTGCAATTTGGAAGTTTCCGTACGCGTCTCAACGTTAGATTAGGTTCCGACCTCCGGCATACGCTATTAATAGGAAACTTCCTTGAACCTCTCCAAGTCATTATTTTTAATCCATTTTATGCTAAAGTTCTTTTTTGTCGTACATTTGACACTTCGCTACATCTCGTGGAAGTCGGATAAAGAGGTGCCGACTTACGGTCTACGCGATTAATAAAAATATCCCTCAATCTGTCTATTTCCTATTAATTACGTAACTTCCAATTTAACTACGTTAAGAGTGCTATTGCCATTTGGATTATGTCAGTAAATGCCACTCGTTCTTCGCAGAGTCGACTCATTACCATCAGTCAGCTCAAAATTATTTCAAAAATGTATGAAGTGGTATGAACTGAAATTTTCGGATTACAGGATGGATCAGATAACTTTTTTTTTAGAATGGGTCACATAACATACCATTTTTGAACGGTAATAGATATTACAATGAACTCTCACAGAAATGCATGAGGAAATTAGCCTAATTGATGTTTTGAATGTTTTTATATCGCTCGTATTTTACAAGTGCTGCACTTGATATTTTTTTCCAAATGGAATCATACACATCATTTCAGTATATGTCGTAAAACTATGAATCCAGTGATACATATATACCTCCCCTACCCCTTCATTATAGAAGGTGACCTCAACAGCAAATCGACTTCATGGGGCTGCATGACTGGTAACGGGACTGGAGTACGACTCGAACATTTTATAGATACAAACCCCCAAATTCAAATAAAATAGCACCCTTTTTCGACATATTTTCCGCGATATCCTTGACATTGTGACTCCTCACAAATCCTATTAACCATACCCTATCCAAAATATGACCTCTACGACCTATCTGACCACCTGTCAATAGTTTTCACCTGCTCTTCCATCCCCAACTACATATTCCCCAAACCTCCTTCAATACCAAAAACCGATAGGAAAAAATCCCAACTGTCAAAGAAAATCCACGTTCCCTCAAATATCCCGACCTGCCAATCTATAGACAACTCCATAGACCACCTAACCCACCACATAAAACAAACATACCGGAAAACCACATCCTACTCGGAAAGTGCTCATCCTACCCTTGCTGCCGAAATTTTGACGATCATACGACATATAAGAATTCAGCGACAATACAAGTATAGAAGAGACGAGAACAAAATAGAACTAAAACTTACACAGAAACAAATACGCGACCTACTCAAACACAACGAGACTCATAAGTACGATAAGCTATTATCTGACAAATGCAACCCCAATAACATCCATAAAGTCGTAAAAGCAGTCAGGAACAACCTAACTCGTATATCCCCCTTTCTAACTAACTATAACACCCTAACCTTTGACCCCCAAAACATCACCAATACCTTTGCCCAATCACTAGCCGAACGCTTTCTTCCCCAACATCTCAATCCCAGGCAGTGTTCTTGGGAACTTTCTTGAAACTCCACCGCACCATCCGGCCAACAACAGACGTAGACGACGAACGATGTGAAAGCCAAAAAAAAAAAAAAAATTCTCAAGACGATAGACTGCAGCAAATCCCCCTGACGCGAATAGTCCTCCCATCCCATCTCACCTACCTAACAAAATTAGTGGGGCTACCATACATTGTCGTATTGTTTCTCAAAGCTCCGCAAAACTACACTACCACATACCCAGCAAAAGTGTTGTCAAGCAGATAATTATTTTTTCGCTTCGAGCCTCGAACTCACATCCTGGAAGTTGATGTGCTGGCACTCATACCACTACATCACAGAATCGCTGTGTGGGTCGAACTCGAAAAATGGTATAAAAAGGTAAATGACCGGTTCACGTAAAAAAACCTTCAACAATCAAAATATTCGCTAGAAACTCCCAAAGCCTCCAGTCCGTTAAGATCAATCAGGGAATATTAATTTTGAAGGAAAACAGCTGAACTGTTTAGGCGCTAGCGTTAACCACAGACAGACCGACAAACAGACGGACGTTTTGCCGTTAATCGTTTCGGTATGAAGATCCAAGGTGGGATATTCAAAATTTCCGTTAAATAAAAGGAAGTTTCCACGAGAAGAAAAAAACTCACAATTGCCCACAAAATTCTAATCCTACATATAACCATATGTATACCAATATATTAGTACTTTTTTAAACGGCATGATATGTCAGAATATTTGTATAGTTATATTTGAAAAAACAAATTTTACATCAATGCTACGTAATGTACAAATGATAAAAAGTATTCAGAACACGTATTTATTCTCTTATGCACTTCAATATTACATGATTTACTCTCTGTACTGAACTTCACCAAAGTCGGATATGTGCCATGGTGCTATGACTTTACTACTCAATCAACATGGCTGATGTGTTTCAGAGCTGAATGTCTCCAAAGCCTTTCAAGTGTGGAGCTCATTAACGAGTATGGATCCACTATTGTCGATTTGTCCGACCGCGCTCCGAAACCTTTCAAACCCATCCCTATAAATGGCGTTTATTGTGAACAGGTCGCTTAAAGGTAATATAATCGGTAATATCTCATCGGTGGCTCAGAGCATGAGAGTCAGGTTCTCTCAGATTGTTGAAGAGTGTAACAATATATACCCCATTAAATGTTCTGTACTCGTCATATTAAAATTATGAACGCGGTGAAATTGAGTGTTTAAGCTCTCGGCATAATTTCAATGGCTATTGAGGTTTGATTCACTCCCAGATGAGAAATTTAACCTCCAGGGCACAGACTGTAAACTATATTGGAATTACATAGAACATAAAATTCGTGTTCAATAGATTGTTCTTTTAGTTTCATGTGTTTTCCCAATTGGTCAAAATTACTTACAGAAATTTTTCATTTTCCTGAACGTTACACTGTTATTCTGACTAGTAATCAGACCAGAAAATTGATCGGAAATTTGATTGAGATTTTGATCATGATTTGGACTTGAATATTGACCGAGGTTTTGATCGCGAATTCAACCACGAATTGGAGAAGGAATTCGATCGAGAATAGAATCCAAAACTCGTTTTTTTTCGCTCATTTTCCCTTACCACTAAACTGTTGAGAGAATACTGATTATGAACATTAAAAATTGTTTTAGCAATTATGCTATTTCACGCTGCTTGGGAATGTGTCGTATTGCCAGGTTTCGAAGGTTAGCAAATTTGACCTCCCTTTGTGCGTGTGTGGTAAAAAATACACTAAGGTGCAGATAGAAAGTCGTTCACTTGATCTATAAAAGGTTTAATCGAAAGAATAACTTAATTTAACTTTCATTTGAAAGGAAGATCTCTCGAACGAGTAAAAATCAAGTTTTAAAAATTATATTAATGCATTATTAGATATATCATTATTTATCTAATTATAGGTTCCCGAGCTAATCATGCCCTAATTTTCATGGGAATATAAAGGAGAGATATCGAGAGCATTATTATGTATTGGCTACTTAGCATCTGAACCCTTTTGACCAGATTGTTGTAGGTTCGTGTTCCTAGGGTGGTGGATTTGCAACAGCAACTAATTATGAGGATCGAAGCCAATCGCTTCCTGAATGAGAATTCGAGTAGAAACTGACTGTTATAAATATGTAATAATTTAAAAATAAATAGTCCATGTGTAATATACTTGCATAAGGTGAGAAGAAGGGACAAGGATGATGAAAGAAATGTCTCTCGCGGTTCGTGACCAGTTAGAGAACAGCTCCTTCATTACCCCGGTACTGTTCGGAGAAAGCACAGAGAACTACCGATCATCAGCCGGCCGCTAGAATTCTCCTTTAGACAGCAGCTGAATGAGACCCATCTATCTAGCTAGTAAGCTCGTCGAGGGTCACATCGACAGCGTGCTTACTTCCTGTGAAACGGTCCCAGGTACCATTCTCGGTCGGGGCAAAAATAGAGGTGTAGTTTTCCGTTACAGTCGTCTCAGTCTCTGTGTCCGTGTGACGAAAGAAAGTGCAGGCAGGCTAAACACACTAGATACGATGACAGGAATACGTCATGCTCTCCACATGTCTCCCTCACCCCCAGGATTAGATAATAATAAAAAGGTCCCAGCCCTCGGATCACTTTTAGCTGGCACAAATGGGGTTGATCCGATGCCAAATGCCTAAAAAATACCTAAATACCAAATACATACATAGATCCATATCTAGCTAGTGTCGGGCCGGGAATGTTTGCGAAAAACTTCTGCAAAATCATGGCGAACAACAACGCCGGCACGAGCTGAATAGTTTATCATTTATTAAAAAGTTGTCTATTATCTATCTATAATTGATCGATAATTAAAAATAATTTACACAAGTTATTCATTTTCCTGAACGTTAGACTGTTATTCTGACCAGTATTCAGACCAGAAAATTGATCGGATATTATCAATTTACTTTTAGTACTTTTATACCATACGCGAGAGACGGCGCCGCGAGGCAGCGCACTCACCGGTGGCCCAGTGCACGAGGGAGTGGCGCTCGTGGTCCAGGCTGTTGACGTCGGCGCCGCGCGCCAGCAGGCACTTGATGAGCGCCCGGTTGCCGGCGATGACGGCCAGGTGCAGCGCCGTGTAGCCGTCCTCGTCCCGCGCCGCCAGCAGCTGGCTCCCGCCCGCCGCCAGCAGGTGCTCGGCGCACGCCGGCGACGCCGTCTCCGCGCAGTAGTGCAGGGCTGTCTTGCGCGTCCGGTCGCGCTCCAGCGCCGCCTCCGGCTGCCGAGCAACACGCACGCACGCGCGCCAGGACGGTTAGTGATGGGGGCGCACGGGCATGTCGGCGCGTGCACTGGCGGATTCAGGGCAATGCCACGCTCCCAATTATAGCCGACGTTTACTCAATACATTCATCCGTTTTTCACGCATTCATGACGAATCTTTTATACCACACCCAAGGCATGTTCACATTAAGAAGGCTATGGGATGCTACATGTCTCTGAAATTACATTTCCTCCATTACATGCTCGCATTATGAACATACATCCCTTTTTATTTCAAGCAAACAATTCTTGTATAGTTTTAGTATTTCAAAAATATTTATGGCGAGTCCGAAGAGAAGTTGTCTCCAACCTGAAATGCTCGCTGAATCCGTCGGTGTGCGTGTGGTTAATGGTGTAAGTTTCCCATAATGAATAGGCACGCCATGGTGGCGTGTTAGTTTTGACTTTTTAACTCGCATGTTACGTAGTAGAATTCGGATGTTATTTGTTTATTCCTGAGTAGTCGTCTCCCAGCAGTAGTGAAGGGCTGTCTTGCGTGTCCGGTCGCGCTCCTGCGTCGTGATGGGAGGTCGGTTAGTGATGGGAGTGCACGGGTAGGTCAGCGCGTGTACTGGCGAATTCAGGGGAATGCCAGGCTCCATCTCAAAGCTGATGTTGACTCAACACCTTCATAACGTTTTTCACGTATTCATTACGAATCTTTTATACCACATCCAAAGGCGTGTTTACATTATGAACATACATCCTTTTTTATTTCAAACAAACAACTAATTTATAGTTTTTAATATTTCAAAAATATTTATTGCCAGTCCGAACTAAAATTGATTCCCAATCTATTCACCCCACCTGAAGTGCTTTCTGAATACGCCCCTGTGCTTGTGCTCCATGATGTGAGTTTTCCGTAATGAAAACGAAACCATGATGGGTTAGTTTTGATTTTTTTCTGTTTTAACTAGCCTGTTAGTAGAATTTGGGTGTCGTTTTTTGTTTATTCTTGATTATCGGTCTCCGCGCAGTAATACAGGGTTGTCTTGCGTGTGTAATCGCGCTTCAGTGCCGCGCCTACATGTTAGCAACGCACCAGGACGGTTAGTGCTGGAGGTGCATGTTGGCGCGTGCAGTGGCAGATTCAGAGGAACACCAGCGTGCGGCCATGAGTCGACCTCAAGCCATTTTTTCTCTCGTAATTTTTCTATACATTTGCAGTTTTCCACGTACTGATTGAGAATCATTTATATCACATTCAAAGACGTATTCACATTACGAACATGAATCCCTTTCTGTTTCAAACGGACAATTTTTTAATAGTTTTGAGTATTTCAAAAATGTTTATGGCGAATGTTAATAGAAATTGTCACCAACCTAAAATGATTTCTGAATCCACCCGCGAAGGTGTGTGTTTGCTTCATGGCTTAAGTTTTCTGTACGAACAACGGCATCATGATTGTGTGTTAGTATTCATTTTTTTCTATTCTGCGAAGTAGTGTAATTTGAGAGTTAATTGTTTATTCCTGAGAATCTGTGCAGTAGTGCAGGGATGCCTTCCGCCTCTAGTCGCGTTTCAGTTCCGCCTCCGGCAGCCAAGCAACACCCATGTACATGAAGTCGGTTAGTTTAGTTAGGTTAGTCGGTACACAGGCATGTTCGCATGTGCACTTATCCCTACACCTAAGCCTAGTTTTTTTGTTTACTTCATTTATTCCTAATATTTCCAACATATTGATTGCAAATTATTTACCATAAATCCAAAGAAATATTCCCATTTTGAAGATACATTCCATCAAACTAACAACATTTTTCATATTTTTTTTCTATTTCGAAATTGTTTGTAGCGAGTCCGATTAAAATTATTCGCTCCCTATTCCCTTCTGGATCCGCTCATATGTATGTATGTGTGTTTGTGTAAGTTTCCGGGTTTCTCTGAGGAAAACGGCATTATAATGGCATGTTTCTTTTGATTAGTGTTTTTTTCGACGTGTTTCAGGTAGTTTTTTCTGGATTGTTTGTTTTTGTTACAACAGTTCCCGCGCTGTATTGCAGATTTTTTTCGGGTCCGACTTCGAGCGAGTGATGATAACTGACCTTGAGAGCATTAGAAAGTTACCCCATTTACTTTCTCATCTTACTATACACGTACTAAAATGTATTGTAATCATGCGGCGAATTCGACAAAAAAAATTGTTAGGAAACAGCTTTTCCCAGGTCTCGGTAACGAAAAGCAAATAAATATGCTGTAAATTACTTCATCTAACACGTTATGTAGTCATAACTCTCGTTTTATGGGCGATTACATTGAAAAATCGATTGACAACAAAAGTCTGTTAGTCCGTCTGTCGTCAACTCTAGTACCTAAGCCGTTCAGATGACTTTTTCCAATATTTTTCCCTTTATGAAATATATTAAAAGGCAGATCTTGAAATAATGTGACGTACTGTTTTTCGAAAAAATAGTGGTTTCCGCGTAATTTTCTTTGAAATATAGGAAAAGGTTAAACAATTATTTTCCCAAAAACGGCTTCAAGTTTTGCATTAACTTTTCCCCTTCCTCTGTAGAAAAGGATAATGAAGAAATTACTGTTTGTATCATTTCCAGCAAACTCTCATTATTTTCGAAAATTGCAAAATGTAATTTTGCGGTCGTTTTGCAGTAAAGATGATAGATATATTTTCTTAATTCAAATATCTTCTAAACTAGGTCTATATGAAGTGCCCTTCTCAACCCATGTATATAATGGGTAATATATGAGTAAATAAAGGACTCTGGAATAGTGACTAAAAAAACAATACGATTTTGACACAAACGCCGGTAAATCACGAAGACAACGCGTTGCGTTTCTTGCAAACTAGTGAACGTGCGCTCACAATTTTTTATCTCAGAAAGTTGTCAATAATTTATTAAAGAAGACGCTTTGTTTGTGGTATCGGCCGGAAGCAATTAGGAATGCCGACTGCTCTAGACAGGGGCTTCTATTATGCCGCTAAAAACATTCAAGCGAATGCACGGATAGCGCGCATTCCTTCTTTCCCGATTCCGTCGTTATTCCTCTTATGGCTGAGTGGTCTTCAGATGGCTCACCCATCCATTTTAAAAATATCTGAAGAATTTGTGATTCAAAAAATAGTAACAAGCTGCTGGTCCTTAGATGTACTACCGTCGCGTTGTGGAGAAAAATAAATAAATAAATAAATAAATAAATAAATAAATAAATAAATAAATAAATAAATAAATAAAT